GGGAACCTGATGGGGAACCTGATGGGGAACCTGAAGGGGAACCAGATGGGGAACCTGTTGGGGAACGTGATGGGGGACCTGATGGGGGACCTGATGGGGAACCTGATGGGGAACCTGATGGGGAACCTGATGGGGAACCTGATGGGGAACCTGATGGGGAACCTGATGGGGTGGGGAACCTGATGGGGAACCTGATGGGGAACCTGATGGGGAACCTGATGGGAAACCTGATGGGGAACCTGATGGGGAACCTTATGGGGAACCTGATGGGGAACCTGATGGGGAACCTGATGGGAAACCTGATGGGGTGGGGAACCTGATGGGGAACCTGATGGGGAACCTGATAGAAACCTGATGGGGAACCTGATGGGGAACCTGATGGGGAATGTGATGGGCAACCTGATGGGGAACCTGATGGGGAACCTGATGGGGAACCTGATGGGGAACCTGATGGGGAACCTGATGGGGAACCTGATGGGGAACCTGATGGGGTGGGGAACCTGATGGGGAACCTGATGGGGAACCTGATGGGGAACCTGATGGGGAACCTGATGGGGAACCTGATGGGGAACCTGATGGGGTGGGGAACCTGATGGGGAACCTGATGGGGAACCTGATGGGGTGGGGAACCTGATGGGGAACCTGATGGGGAACCTGATGGGGAACCTGATGGGGTGGGGAACCTGATGGGGAACCTGATGGGGAACCTGATGGGGTGGGGAACCTGATGGAGAACCTGATGGGGAACCTGATGGGAAACCTGATGGGGGAACCTGATGGGGAACCTGATGGGGAACCTGATGGGGAACCTGATGGGGAACCTGATGGGAAACCTGATGGGGAACCTGATGGGGAACCTGATGGGGTGGGGAAACTGATGGGGAACTTGATGGGGAACCTGATGGGGAACCTGATGGGGAACCTGATGGGGTGGGGAACCTGATGGGGAACCTGATGAGGAACCTGATGGGGTGGGGAACCTGATGGGGAACCTGATGGGGAACCTGATGGGGAACCTGATGGGGAACCTGATGGGGTGGGGAACCTGATGGGGAACCTGATGGGGAACCTGATGGGGAACCTGATGGGGAACCTGATGGGGTGGGGAACCTGATGGGGAACCTGATGGGGAACCTGATGGGGAACCTGATGGGGAACCTGATGGGGAACCTGATGGGGTGGGGAACCTGATGGGGAACCTGATGGGGAACCTGATGGGGAACCTGATGGGGAACCTGATGGGGAACCTGATGGGGAACCTGATGGGGTGGGGAACCTGATGGGGAACCTGATGGGGTGGGGAACCTGATGGAGAACCTGATGGGGAACCTGATGGGAAACCTGATGGGGGAACCTGATGGGGAACCTGATGGGGAACCTGATGGGGAACCTGATGGGGAACCTGATGGGAAACCTGATGGGGAACCTGATGGGGAACCTGATGGGGAACCTGATGGGGTGGGGAAACTGATGGGGAACTTGATGGGGAACCTGATGGGGAACCTGATGGGGAACCTGATGGGGTGGGGAACCTGATGGGGAACCTGACGAGGAACCTGATGGGGTGGGGAACCTGATGGGGAACCTGATGGGGAACCTGATGGGGAACCTGATGGGGTGGGGAACCTGATGGGGAACCTGATGGGGAACCTGATGGGGAACCTGATGGGGAACCTGATGGGGAACCTGATGGGCAACCTGATGAGGAACCTGATGGGGAGCCTGATGGGGAACCTGATGGGGAACCTGATGGGAACCTGATGGGGAACCTGATGGGGTGGGGAACCTGATGGGGAACCTGATGGGGAACCTGATGAGGAACCTGATGGGGAACCTGATGGGGAACCTGATGGGGAACCTGATAGGACCCGGAAGGGGAACCTGATGGGGAACCTGATGGGGAACCTGATGGGGAACCTGATGGGGAACCTGATGGGGAACCTGATGGGGAACCTGATGGGGAACCTGATGGGGTGGGGAACCTGATGGGGAACCTGATGGGGAACCTGATGGGGAACCTGATGGGAAACCTGATGGGGAACCTGATGGGGAACCTTATGGGGAACCTGATGGGGAACCTGATGGGGAACCTGATGGGAAACCTGATGGGGTGGGGAACCTGATGGGGAACCTGATGGGGAACCTGATGGGAAACCTGATGGGGTGGGGAACCTGATGGGGAACCTGATGGGGAACCTGATAGAAACCTGATGGGGAACCTGATGGGGAACCTGATGGGGAACCTGAAGGGGAACCAGATGGGGAACCTGTTGGGGAACGTGATGGGGGACCTGATGGGGGACCTGATGGGGAACCTGATGGGGAACCTGATGGGGAACCTGATGGGGAACCTGATGGGGTGGGGAACCTGATGGGGAACCTGATGGGGAACCTGATGGGGAACCTGATGGGGAACCTGATGGGGAACCTGATGGGCAACCTGATGAGGAACCTGATGGGGAGCCTGATGGGGAACCTGATGGGGAACCTGATGGGGAACCTGATGGGAAACCTGATGGGGTGGGGAACCTGATGGGGAGCCTGATTGGGAACCTGATGGGGAACCTGATGGGGAACCTGATGGGGGACCTGATGGGGAACCTGATGGGGAACCTGATGGGGAACCTGATGGGGAACGTGATGGGAAACCTGATGGGGTGGGGAACCTGATGGGGAACCTGATGGGGAACCTGATAGAAACCTGATGGGGAACCTGATGGGGAACCTGATGGGGAATGTGATGGGCAACCTGATGGGGAACCTGATGGGGAACCTGATGGGGAACCTGATGGGGAACCTGATGGGGAACCTGATGGGGAACCTGATGGGGAACCTGATGGGGTGGGGAACCTGATGGGGAACCTGATGGGGAACCTGATGGGGAACCTGATGGGGAACCTGATGGGGAACCTGATGGGGTGGGGAACCTGATGGGGAACCTGATGGGAAACCTGATGGGGTGGGGAACCTGATGGGGAACCTGATGGGGAACCTGATGGGGAACCTGATGGGGTGGGAAACCTGATGGGGAACCTGATGGGGAACCTGATAGGGAACCTGATGGGGAACCTGATGGGGAACCTGATGGAGAACCTGATGGGGAACCTGATGGGGAACCTGATGGGGAAACCTGATGGGGAACCTGATGGGGAACCTGATGGGGAACCTGATGGAAAACCTGATGCGGAACCTGATGGGGAACCTGATGGGGAACCTGATGGGGAACCTGATGGGGAACCTGATGGGGAACCTGATGGGGAACCTGATGGGGTGGGGAAACTGATGGGGAACCTGATGGGGAACCTGATGGGGAACCTGATGGGGAACCTGATGGGGAACCTGATGGGGAACCTGATGGGGAACCTGATGGGGAACCTGATGGGGAACCGGATGTGAAACCTGATGGGGTGGGAAACCTGATGGGGAACCTGATGGGGAACCTGATGGGGAACCTGATGGGGAACCTGATGGGGAACCTGATGGGGAACCTGATGGGGTGGGGAAACTGATGGTGAACCTGATGGGGTGGGGAACCTGATGGGGAACCTGATGGGGAACCTGATGGGGAACCTGATGGGGAACCTGATGGGGAACCTGATGGGGAACCTGATGGGGAACCTGATCGGGAACCTGATGGGGAACCTGATGGGGAACCTGATGCGGAACCTGATGGGGAACCTGATGGGGAACCTGATGGGGAACCTGATGGGGAACCTGATGGGGAACCTGATGGGGAACCTGATGGGGAACCTGTTGGGAAACCTGATGGGGAACCTGATGGGGAACCTGATGGGGTGGGAAACCTGATGGGGAACCTGATGGGGTGGGGAAACTGATGGGGAATCTGATGGGGAACCTGATGGGGTGGGGAACCTGATGGGGAACCTGATGGGGAACCTGATGGAGAACCTGATGGGGAACCTGATGGGGAATCTGATGGGGTGGGGGGAACCTGATGGGGAACCTGATGGGGAACCTGATGGGGAACCTGATGGGGAACCTGATGGGGAAACTGATGGGGAACCTGATGGGGTGGGGAACCTGCTGGGGAACCTGATGGGGAACCTGATGGGGAACCTGATGGGGAACCTGATGGGGAACCTGATGGGGTGGGGAACCTGATGGGGAACCTGATGCGGAACCTGATGGGGAACCTGATGGGGAACCTGATGGGGAACCTGATGGGGAACCTGATGGGGAACCTGATGGGGAACCAGATGGGGAACCTGATGGGGAACCTGATGGGGAACCTGATGGGGAACCTGATGGGGAACCTGATGGGGAACCTGACGGGGAACCTGACGGGGAACCTGACGGGGAACCTGACGGGGAACCTGACGGGGAACCTGATGGGGAACCTGATGGGGAACCTGATGGGGAACCTGATGGGGAACCTGATGGGGAACCTGATGGGGAACCTGATGGGGAACCTGTTGGGAAACCTGATGGGGAACCTGATGGGGAACCTGATGGGGTGGGAAACCAGATGGGGAACCTGATGGGGTGGGGAAACTGATGGGGAATCTGATGGGGAACCTGATGGGGTGGGGAACCTGATGGGGAACCTGATGGGGAACCTGATGGGGAATCTGATGGGGTGGGGAACCTGATGGGGAACCTGATGGGGAACCTGATGGGGAACCTGATGGGGAACCTGATGGGGTGGGGAACCTGATGGGGAACCTGATGGGGAACCTGATGGGGAACCTGATGGGGAACCTGATGGGGAACCTGATGGGGAACCTGATGGGGGGAACCTGATGGGGGGAACCTGATGGGGGGAACCTGATGGGGGGAACCTGATGGGGGGAACCTGATGGGGGGAACCTGATGGGGGGAACCTGATGGGGGGAACCTGATGGGGGGAACCTGATGGGGGGAACCTGATGGGGGGAACCTGATGAGGGGAACCTGATGGGGGGAACCTGATGGGGGGAACCTGATGGGGACTCTACCTCCTGGGTTCTCACCAGCTCTGTTGCAATCTCCTGAAATCGCACCTGGTTGAACTCCTTCGGGCTGAACAGCCGCAGCCACTCGGGCTGAATTAAATCCGAGAGGCCCCTGAGAAACGCCGCCACCACTGCTGCCATCTGGAAAAGAGGAGGTAGGTGATGAGCCGAGAGGAGAGGGGGGGAGGACGAGGGGAAAGGTGAGGAGGGAAGAGTGTTTTGAGACGCCTCAAAACCATCTGGAAAAGTGAAGGTCAGTGATAGAGCGAGAGGAAGAGAGGGGGAGGAAGAGGGGGGGAGGAAGACGGGGGGAGGAAGGGGGGGGGAGGAAGAGGGGGGGAGGAAGAGGGGGGGAGGAAGAGGGGGGGAGGAAGAGGGGAAAGGTGGAGGAGGGAAGAAAGATGTCGCATTGGCCATTTCAAGTTTCAGGTTTTTGGGGTTGGGGATGGTTAAGCTTGCATTCAACCACGGCACGGACGTACTGCAGCTTGTTCCCACTGGTCACTGCTGCTCTCACCTGAGAACTCACCTGACGGTTAAGCTTGCATTCAACCACGGCATGGACGTACTGCAGCTTGTTCCCACTGGTAGCTCAAACCACCTGACCACTGCGGAAACCACCTGAACTCTCACCTGACGGTTAAGCTTGTAATCGGCCACGGCATGAATGTACTGCAGCTTGTTCTCATTGGTCACAGCAATGTGACTGCCGCCCGGCCGCAGCTCCACAATGCTGTGCTCGCCCAAGACTTCTTCAGTGACTGTGAAGTCCAATGCCAGCTCAGATGCGTCCCCCTCGTAGTGCTGTATAGGGTGGAAGGGAAGGATAAGGAGAGGAAGAGCACACATGGGTGTAAGCTTGGAGTGCGCAGCTCCACTATGCTGTGCTCGCCCAGCACCTCTTCAGTCACTGTAAAATCCAATGCCAGTTCAGAAGCATCCCCCTCATAGTGCTGCATGGGGAGAGAAGGGTAGGGGAGAAGGAGACAAGGGGACAGAGCGACAAAGGTTAGGGCCCGCAGCTCCACGATGCTGTGCTCGCCCAGCACCTCCTCTGTGACTGTGAAGTCCAACGCGAGTTCAGATGCATCCCCTTCGTAGTGCTGCATAAGGAGAACGGAGGGGACGAGGGGCGAAGGGGGGAAAACATGTGACTGCCGCCCGGCCGCAGCTCCACAATGCTGTGCTCTCCCAGCACTTCCTCTGTCACTGTGAAGTCCAACGCGAGTTCAGATGCATCCCCCTCATAGTGCTGCATGGAAAAGGGGTAAAAGAGGCAAGGGCTTTGTAGTGCTGCGGGTGAGTGCCAGGGGGTTATTGGGGAGGAAAGAAAAGAGTTTCACATAGCAGCAGCTGCACAATGCTGTGTTCTCCCAGCACCTCCTCTGTCGCTGCGCAGTCCAGAGCTAGCTCAGCTCAGAGGCATCCCCTTCGTGTTACATGGGGTGCGTGCTGCACGGACAAGTGTTTCGGGGTGACTTGAACAGCAGGGCGAAGCTGTACTCGAGGAGAATCCCCTCATAAAGCGCCGTGCCCACGATGATGCTGGTCACTGTGCGTACACACCACACACTACAGCCACACCCACCCACCGATCCACCCACCCACCTTGAGGTACATGAGGTTGCGGTACAGCTACATATACAGGGAGGACAGCTCGTCCAAAAACGCGTATCGCCCAACGAGCTTGGAGACGAACAGAGGTGCAAAGCTGTATTCGAGGAGAAACCCCTCGTAGAGCGCCTTGCCTGCCCACGATGCGGGTCACTGTGCCCCCACGCATGCACAGGAGAAGCTGGTAGAGGAAGGGCGACCCACCTTGAGGTACATGAGATTCCTGTACAGCTCCATATCCAGGGAGGACAGCTCGTCCAAAAACGCATATCTTCCCACTACGTCCAACACAGGTGCCCACGCTACCCACACTAGAGCCACACCCACCCACCGATCCACCCACCCACCGATCCACCCACCCACCTTGAGGTACATGAGGTTCCTGTACAGCTCCATATCCAGGGAGGACAGCTCGTCCAAAAACGCGTATCGCCCAACGAGCTTGGATACGAACAGAGGGGCGAAGCTGTACTCGAGGAGGATTCCCTCGTAGAGCGCCTTGCCCACGATGCGGCCGAGGAACTCCACCATGGGAATGCCGTGGCCCAGCGCTGCTGCCGCCGGGTGTGGGTAGAGATAGCACTCCTCTGTGGTGACTTTTGAGTCGAATCAAAAGTCACCTTGCTGCCAGGTGTGGATAGTGATAGCCCTCCTCCGTGGCTGATTGCAAGAAGAGCCCGTACCTGGGCTGAAGAGGGAGAGGGAGAAGAGTAGAAAAACAAGAAGTGGAGATATCAGAGCTATGCTGCTGCCGGGTGCAGGTAGAGGTAGCCTTCTTCTGTGGCTGCTTGCAAGAAGAGCCCGTAGCTGGGGAGAGGAGGGGGTGAGGGAGGGGAGGTGGTGCATGGAGGGGAGGAGAGAAGGAAGGTGGAGAAACGGTAGGTCGCCCTCCATGCCAGCCTAGATGTCACAAGGACCACCGTTACGCCATACCGCCTACCCCAGTACAACGGTGGTTGAGCGGAGACGAACACATGATCGTGTTCGCCGCGACACCGCCCGCTCATACGCTGCACTGCCCGCTCATATGCTGCACCGCACGCTCATACGCTGCACCGCCCGCTCATACGCTGCACTGCCCGCTCATATGCTGCACCGCACGCTCATACGCTGCACCGCACGCTCGTACGCTGCACCGCACGCTCGTACACTGCACCGCCCGCTCGTACGCTGCACCGCCCGCTCATACGCTGCACCGCACGCTCATACGCTGCACCGCCCGCTCATACGCTGCACTGCCCGCTCATATGCTGCACCGCACGCTCATACGCTGCACCGCACGCTCGTACGCTGCACCGCACGCTCGTACACTGCACCGCCCGCTCGTACGCTGCACCGCCCGCTCATACGCTGCACCGCACGCTCATACGCTGCACCGCACGCTCATACGCTGCACCGCCCGCTCATACGCTGCACCGCCCGCTCATACGCTGCACCGCACGCTCATACGCTACACCGCACGCTCATACGCTGCACCGCCCGCTCATACGCTGCACCGCCCGCTCATACGCTGCACCGCCCGCTCATACGCTGCACCGCCCGCTCATACGCTGCACCGCACGCTCATACGCTGCACCGCCCGCTCATACGCTGCACCGCACGCTCATACGCTGCAACGCACGCTCTTACGCTGCACCGCCCGATCATACGCTGCACCGCACGCTCATCCGCTGCACCGCACGCTCATACGCTGCGCCGCCCGCTCATAAAATGCACCGCACGCTCATAAAATGCACCGCACGCTCATACGCTGCACCGCCCGCCCATACGCTGCACGGCACGCTCATACGCTGCACGGCACGCTCATACGCTGCACGGCACGCTCATACGCTGCACCGCCCGCCCATACGCTGCACGGCACGCTCATACGCTGCACCGCACGCTCATATGCTGCACCGCCGGCTCATACGCTGCACCGCCCGCTCATAAAATGCACCGCACGCTCATAAAATGCACCGCACGCTCGTACGCCGCACCGCACGCTCGTACGCCGCATCGCCCGCTCGTACGCTGCACCGCCCGCTCATACGCTGCACCGCCCGCTCATACGCTGCACCGCACGCTCATACGCTGCACCGCCCGCTCATACGCTGCACCGCACGCTCATACGCTGCAACGCACGCTCTTACGCTGCACCGCCCGATCATACGCTGCACCGCACGCTCATCCGCTGCACCGCACGCTCATACGCTGCGCCGCCCGCTCATAAAATGCACCGCACGCTCATAAAATGCACCGCACGCTCATACGCTGCACCGCCCGCCCATACGCTGCACGGCACGCTCATACGCTGCACGGCACGCTCATACGCTGCACGGCACGCTCATACGCTGCACCGCCCGCCCATACGCTGCACGGCACGCTCATACGCTGCACCGCACGCTCATATGCTGCACCGCCGGCTCATACGCTGCACCGCCCGCTCATAAAATGCACCGCACGCTCATAAAATGCACCGCACGCTCGTACGCCGCACCGCACGCTCGTACGCCGCATCGCCCGCTCGTACGCTGCACCGCCCGCTCATACGCTGCACCGCCCGCTCATACGCTGCACCGCACGCTCATACGCTGCACCGCACGCTCATACGCTGCACCGCACGCTCATACGCTGCACCGCCCGCTCATACGCTGCACCGCACGCTCATACGCTACACCGCACGCTCATACGCTGCACCGCCCGCTCATACGCTGCACCGCCCGCTCATACGCTGCACCGCCCGCTCATACGCTGCACCGCCCGCTCATACGCTGCACCGCACGCTCATACGCTGCACGGCACGCTCATACGCTGCACCGCACGCTCATACGCTGCACCGCACGCTCATACGCTGCACCGCACGCTCATACGCTGCACCGCCCGCTGATACGCTGCACCGCACGCTCATACGCTGCACCGCCCGCTCATACGCGGCATCGCCCGCTCATACGCTGCACCGCACACTCATACGCTGCACCGCACGCTCATACGCTGCACCGCACAGCTCATACGCTGCACCGCCCGCTCATACGCTGCACCGCACGCTCATACGCTGCACCGCACGCTCATACGCTGCACCGCCCGCTCATACGCTGCACCGCACGCTCATACGCTGCACCGCACGCTCATACGCTGCACCGCACACTCATACGCTGCACCGCACGCTCATACGCTGCACCGCCCGCTCATACGCTGCACCGCACGCTCATACGCTGCACCGCACGCTCATCCGCTGCACCGCACGCTCATACTCTGCACCGCCCGCTCATACGCTACACCGCCCGCTCATACGCTGCACCGCACTCCCATACGCTGCATCGCACGCCCATACGCTGCACCGCACGCCCATACGCTGCACCGCCCGCCCATACGCTGCACCACACGCTCATACGCTGCACCGCCCGCTCATACGCTGCACCGTCCGGTCATACGCTGCACCGCACACTCATACGCTGCACCGCACGCTCATACGCTACACCTCCCGCTCATACGCTGCACCGCACGCTCATACGCTGCACCGCACGCTCATACGCTGCACCGCCCGCTCATACGCTGCACCGCACGCTCATACGCTGCGCCGCCCGCTCATTCGCTGCACCGCCCGCTCATACGCTGCACCGCCCGCTCATACGCTGCACCGCACGCTCATACGCTGCACCGCACGCTCATGCGCTGCACCGCACGCTCATGCGCTGCACCGCACGCTCATACGCTGCACCGCCCGCTCATACGCGGCATCGCCCGCTCATACGCTGCACCGCACGCTCATACGCTGCACCGCACGCTCATACGCTGCACCGCACAGCTCATACGCTGCACCGCCCGCTCATACGCTGCGCCGCACGCTCATACGCTGCACCGCACGCTCATACGCTGCACCGCACGCTCATACGCTGCACCGCACGCTCATACGCTGCACCGCCCGCTAATGCGCTGCACCGCACGCTCATACGCTGCACCGCCCGCTCATACGCTGCACCGCCCGCTCATACGCTGCGCCGCCCGCTCATACGCTGCACCGCACGCTCATACGCTGCACCGCCCGCTCATACGCTGCACCGCCCGCTCATGCGCTGCACCGCCCGCTCATGCGCTGCACCGCCCGCTCATGCGCTGCACCGCACGCTCATACGCTGCACTGCAACGCTGCACCGCCCGCTCATACGCTGCACCGCACGCTCATACGCTGCACCGCACGCTCATACGCTGCACCGCACGCTCATACGCTGCAACGCACGCTCATTCGCTGCACCGCACGCTCATCCGCTGCACCGCACGCTCATACGCTGCACCGCACGCTCATACGCTGCACCGCACGCTCATACGCTGCACCGCACGCTCATACGCTGCACCGCCCGCTCACACGCTGCACCGCCCGCTCATGCGCTGCACCGCCCGCTCATGCGCTACACCGCACGCTCATACGCTGCACCGCCCGCTCATACGCTGCACCGCCCGCTCATACGCTGCACCGCCCGCTCATACGCTGCACCGCTCGCTCATACGCTGCACCGCCCGCTCATACGCTGCACCGCCCGCTCATACGCTGCACCGCCCGCTCATACGCTGCACCGCCCGCTCATACGCTGCACCGCACGCTCATACGCTGCACCGCCCGCTCATACGCCGCACCGCACGCACATACGCTGCACCGCCCGCTCATACGCTGCACCGCCCGCTCATACGCTGCACCGCCCGCTCATACGCTGCACCGCCCGCTCATACGCTGCACCGCACGCTCATACGCTGCACCGCACGCTCATACGCTGCACCGCCCGCTCATACGCTGCACCGCCCGCTCATACGCTGCACCGCACGCTCATACGCTGCACCGCCCGCTCGTACGCTGCACCGCCCGCTCATACGCTGCACCGCCCGCTCATACGCTGCACCGCCCGATCATCCGCTGCACCGCCCGCTCATCCGCTGCACCGCACGCTCATACGCTGCACCGCCCGCTCATACGCTGCACCGCACGCTCATACGCTGCACCGCCCGCTCATACGCTGCACCGCACGCTCATACGCTGCACCGCCCGCTCATACGCTGCACCGCCCGCTCATACGCTGCACCGCCCGCTCATACGCTGCACCGCCCGCTCATACGCTGCACCGCACGCTCATACACTGCACCGCCCGCTCACACGTTGCACCGCACGCTCATACGCTGCACCGCACGCTCATACGCTGCACCGCACAGCTCATACGCTGCACCGCACGCTCATACGCTGCACCGCACGCTCATACACTGCACCGCACGCTCATACGCTGCACCGCACGCTCATACGCTGCACCGCACGCTCATACGCTGCACCGCCCGCTCATACGCTGCACCGCCCGCTCATACGCTGCACCGCACGCTCATACGCTGCACTGCACGCTCATACGCTGCACCGCACGCTCATACGCTGCACCGCACGCTCATACGCTGCACCGCACGCTCATACGCTGCACCGCCCGCTCATACGCTGCACCGCACGCTCATACGCTGCACCGCACGCTCATACGCTGCACCGCACGCTCATACGCTGCACCGCCCGCTCATACGCGGCATCGCCCGCTCATACGCTGCACCGCACGCTCATACGCTGCACCGCACGCTCATACGCTGCACCGCACAGCTCATACGCTGCACCGCCCGCTCATACGCTGCACCGCACGCTCATACGCTGCACCGCCCGCTCATACGCTGCACCGCACGCTCATACGCTGCACCGAACGCTCATACGCTGCACCGCAACGTTGCACCGCCCGCACATACGCTGCACCGCACGCTCATACGCTGCACCGCACGCTCATACGCTGCACCGCACGCTCATACGCTGCAACGCACGCTCATACGCTGCAACGCACGCTCATACGCTGCACCGCCCGCTCATACGCGACATCGCCCGCTCATACGCTGCACCGCACGCTCATACGCTGCACCGCACGCTCATACGCTGCACCGCACAGCTCATACGCTGCACCGCCCGCTCATACGCTGCACCGCACGCTCATACGCTGCACCGCACGCTCATACGCTGCACCGCCCGCTCATACGCTGCACCGCCCGCTCATACGCTGCACCGCACGCTCATAGGCTGCACCGCACGCTCATACGCTGCAACGCATGCTCATACGCTGCACCGCCCGCTCATACGCTGCACCGCACGCTCATACGCTGCACCGCACGCTCATACGCTGCACCGCACGCTCATACGCTGCACCGCACAGCTCATACGCTGCACCGCCCGCTCATACGCTGCACCGCACGCTCATACGCTGCACCGCCCGCTCATACGCTGCACCGCACGCTCATACGCTGCACCGCCCGCTCATACGCTGCACCGCCCGCTCATACGCTGCACCGCCCGATCATACGCTGCACCGCACGCTCATCCGCTGCACCGCACGCTCATACGCTGCACCGCACAGCTCATACGCTGCACCGCCCGCTCATACGCTGCACCGCACGCTCATACGCTGCACCGCACGCTCATACGCTGCACCGCACGCTCATACGCTGCACCGCACAGCTCATACGCTGCACCGCCCGCTCATACGCTGCACCGCCCGCTCATACGCTGCACCGCCCGCTCATACGCTGCACCGCACGCTCATACGCTGCACCGCACAGCTCATACGCTGCACCGCCCGCTGATACGCTGCACCGCACGCTCATACGCTGCACCGCACGCTCATACGCTGCACCGCCCGCTCATACGCTGCACCGCCCGCTCATACGCTGCACCGCACGCTCATTCGCTGCACCGCACGCTCATACGCTGCACCGCACGCTCATACGCTGCACCGCCCGCTCATACGCTGCACCGCCCGCTCATACGCTGCACCGCCCGCTCATACGCTGCACCGCACGCTCATACGCTGCACCGCACGCTCATACGCTGCACCGCACGCTCATACGCTGCACCGCCCGCTCATATGCTGCACCGCCCGCTCATACGCTGCACCGCAACGCTGCACCGCCCGCTCATACGCTGCACCGCACGCTCATACGCTGCACCGCACGCTCATACGCTGCACCGCACGCTCATACGCTGCACCGCACGCTCATACGCTGCACCGCCCGCTCATACGCTGCACCGCCCGATCATACGCTGCACCGCACGCTCATCCGCTGCACCGCACGCTCATACGCTGCACCGCCCGCTCATACGCTGCACCGCACGCTCATACGCTGCACCGCCCGCTCATACGCTGCGCCGCCCGCTCATACGCTGCGCCGCCCGCTCATACGCTGCACCGCACGCTCATACGCTGCACCGCCCGCTCATACGCTGCACCGCCCGCTCATACGCTGCACCGCCCGCTCATGCGCTGCACCGCCCGCTCATGCGCTGCACCGCCCGCTCATGCGCTGCACCGCACGCTCATGCGCTGCACCGCACGCTCATACGCTGCACCGCACGCTCATACGCTGCACCGCCCGCTCATACGCTGCACCGCCCGCTCATACGCTGCACCGCACGCTCATACGCTGCACCGCACGCTCATACGCTGCACCGCACGCTCATACGCTGCACCGCCCGCTCATACGCTGCACCGCCCGCTCATACGCTGCACCGGAACGCTGCACCGCCCGCTCATACGCTGCACCGCACGCTCATACGCTGCACTGCACGCTCATACGCTGCACCGCACGCTCATACGCTGCACCGCACGCTCATACGCTGCACCGCCCGCTCATACGCTGCACCGCCCGATCATACGCTGCACCGCACGCTCATCCGCTGCACCGCACGCTCATACGCTGCACCGCCCGCTCATACGCTGCACCGCACGCTCATACGCTGCACCGCCCGCTCATACTCTGCGCCGCCCGCTCATACGCTGCGCCGCCCTCTCATACGCTGCACCGCCCGCTCATACGCTGCACCGCCCGCTCATACGCTGCACCGCACGCTCATACGCTGCACCGCCCGCTCATGCGCTGCACCGCCCGCTCATGCGCTGCACCGCACGCTCATACGCTGCACCGCACGCTCATACGCTGCACCGCCCGCTCATACGCTGCACCGCCCGCTCATACGCTGCACCGCCCGCTCATACGCTGCACCGCCCGCTCATACGCTGCACCGCACGCTCATACGCTGCACGGCACGCTCATACGCTGCACCGCACGCTCATACGCTGCACCGCACGCTCATACGCTGCACCGCACGCTCATACGCTGCACCGCCCGCTGATACGCTGCACCGCACGCTCATACGCTGCACCGCCCGCTCATACGCGGCATCGCCCGCTCATACGCTGCACCGCACACTCATACGCTGCACCGCACGCTCATACGCTGCACCGCACAGCTCATACGCTGCACCGCCCGCTCATACGCTGCACCGCACGCTCATACGCTGCACCGCACGCTCATACGCTGCACCGCCCGCTCATACGCTGCACCGCACGCTCATACGCTGCACCGCACGCTCATACGCTGCACCGCACACTCATACGCTGCACCGCACGCTCATACGCTGCACCGCCCGCTCATACGCTGCACCGCACGCTCATACGCTGCACCGCACGCTCATCCGCTGCACCGCACGCTCATACTCTGCACCGCCCGCTCATACGCTACACCGCCCGCTCATACGCTGCACCGCACTCCCATACGCTGCATCGCACGCCCATACGCTGCACCGCACGCCCATACGCTGCACCGCCCGCCCATACGCTGCACCACACGCTCATACGCTGCACCGCCCGCTCATACGCTGCACCGTCCGGTCATACGCTGCACCGCACACTCATACGCTGCACCGCACGCTCATACGCTACACCTCCCGCTCATACGCTGCACCGCACGCTCATACGCTGCACCGCACGCTCATACGCTGCACCGCCCGCTCATACGCTGCGCCGCCCGCTCATACGCTGCGCCGCCCGCTCATTCGCTGCACCGCCCGCTCATACGCTGCACCGCCCGCTCATACGCTGCACCGCACGCTCATACGCTGCACCGCACGCTCATGCGCTGCACCGCACGCTCATGCGCTGCACCGCACGCTCATACGCTGCACCGCACGCTCATACGCTGCACCGCACGCTCATACGCTGCACCGCACAGCTCATACGCTGCACCGCCCGCTCATACGCTGCGCCGCACGCTCATACGCTGCGCCGCACGCTCATACGCTGCACCGCACGCTCATACGCTGCACCGCACGCTCATACGCTGCACCGCCCGCTAATGCGCTGCACCGCACGCTCATACGCTGCACCGCCCGCTCATACGCTGCACCGCCCGCTCATACGCTGCGCCGCCCGCTCATACGCTGCACCACACGCTCATACGCTGCACCGCCCGCTCATACGCTGCACCGCCCGCTCATGCGCTGCACCGCCCGCTCATGCGCTGCACCGCCCGCTCATGCGCTGCACCGCACGCTCATACGCTGCACTGCAACGCTGCACCGCCCGCTCATACGCTGCACCGCCCGCTCATACGCTGCACCGCACGCTCATACGCTGCACCGCACGCTCATACGCTGCAACGCACGCTCATTCGCTGCACCGCACGCTCATCCGCTGCACCGCACGCTCATACGCTGCACCGCACGCTCATACGCTGCACCGCACGCTCATACGCTGCACCGCACGCTCATACGCTGCACCGCCCGCTCACACGCTGCACCGCCCGCTCATGCGCTGCACCGCACGCTCATGCGCTACACCGCACGCTCATACGCTGCACCGCCCGCTCATACGCTGCACCGCCCGCTCATACGCTGCACCGCCCGCTCATACGCTGCACCGCTCGCTCATACGCTGCACCGCCCGCTCATACGCTGCACCGCCCGCTCATACGCTGCACCGCCCGCTCATACGCTGCACCGCCCGCTCATACGCTGCACCGCACGCTCATACGCTGCACCGCCCGCTCATACGCCGCACCGCACGCACATACGCTGCACCGCCCGCTCATACGCTGCACCGCCCGCTCATACGCTGCACCGCCCGCTCATACGCTGCACCGCCCGCTCATACGCTGCACCGCCCGCTCATACGCTGCACCGCACGCTCATACGCTGCACCGCCCGCTCATACGCTGCACCGCCCGCTCATACGCTGCACCGCCCGCTCATACGCTGCACCGCACGCTCATACGCTGCACCGCCCACTCGTACGCTGCACAGCACGCTCGTACGCTGCACCGCCCGCTCATACGCTGCACCGCCCGATCATCCGCTGCACCGCCCGCTCATCCGCTGCACCGCACGCTCATACGCTGCACCGCCCGCTCATACGCTGCACCGCACGCTCATACGCTGCACCGCCCGCTCATACGCTGCACCGCACGCTCATACGCTGCACCGCCCGCTCATACGCTGCACCGCCCGCTCATACGCTGCACCGCCCGCTCATACGCTGCACCGCACGCTCATACGCTGCACCGCCCGCTCACACGTTGCACCGCACGCTCATACGCTGCACCGCACGCTCATACGCTGCACCGCACAGCTCATACGCTGCACCGCACGCTCATACGCTGCACCGCACGCTCATACGCTGCACCGCACGCTCATACGCTGCACCGCACGCTCATACGCTGCACCGCACGCTCATACGCTGCACCGCCCGCTCATACGCTGCACCGCACGCTCATACGCTGCACTGCACGCTCATACGCTGCACCGCACGCTCATACGCTGCACCGCACGCTCATACGCTGCACCGCACGCTCATACGCTGCACCGCCCGCTCATACGCTGCACCGCACGCTCATACGCTGCACCGCACGCTCATACGCTGCACCGCACGCTCATACGCTGCACCGCCCGCTCATACGCGGCATCGCCCGCTCATACGCTGCACCGCACGCTCATACGCTGCACCGCACGCTCATACGCTGCACCGCACAGCTCATACGCTGCACCGCCCGCTCATACGCTGCACCGCACGCTCATACGCTGCACCGCCCGCTCATACGCTGCACCGCACGCTCATACGCTGCACCGAACGCTCATACGCTGCACCGCAACGTTGCACCGCCCGCACATACGCTGCACCGCACGCTCATACGCTGCACCGCACGCTCATACGCTGCACCGCACGCTCATACGCTGCAACGCACGCTCATACGCTGCAACGCACGCTCATACGCTGCACCGCCCGCTCATACGCGACATCGCCCGCTCATACGCTGCACCGCACGCTCATACGCTGCACCGCACGCTCATACGCTGCACCGCACAGCTCATACGCTGCACCGCCCGCTCATACGCTGCACCGCACGCTCATACGCTGCACCGCACGCTCATACGCTGCACCGCCCGCTCATACGCTGCACCGCCCGCTCATACGCTGCACCGCACGCTCATAGGCTGCACCGCACGCTCATACGCTGCAACGCGTGCTCATACGCTGCACCGCCCGCTCATACGCTGCACCGCACGCTCATACGCTGCACCGCACGCTCATACGCTGCACCGCACGCTCATACGCTGCACCGCACAGCTCATACGCTGCACCGCCCGCTCATACGCTGCACCGCACGCTCATACGCTGCACCGCCCGCTCATACGCTGCACCGCACGCTCATACGCTGCACCGCCCGCTCATACGCTGCACCGCCCGCTCATACGCTGCACCGCCCGATCATACGCTGCACCGCACGCTCATCCGCTGCACCGCACGCTCATACGCTGCACCGCACAGCTCATACGCTGCACCGCCCGCTCATACGCTGCACCGCACGCTCATACGCTGCACCGCACGCTCATACGCTGCACCGCACGCTCATACGCTGCACCGCACAGCTCATACGCTGCACCGCCCGCTCATACGCTGCACCGCCCGCTCATACGCTGCACCGCCCGCTCATACGCTGCACCGCACGCTCATACGCTGCACCGCACAGCTCATACGCTGCACCGCCCGCTGATACGCTGCACCGCACGCTCATACGCTGCACCGCACGCTCATACGCTGCACCGCCCGCTCATACGCTGCACCGCCCGCTCATACGCTGCACCGCACGCTCATTCGCTGCACCGCACGCTCATACGCTGCACCGCACGCTCATACGCTGCACCGCCCGCTCATACGCTGCACCGCCCGCTCATACGCTGCACCGCCCGCTCATACGCTGCACCGCACGCTCATACGCTGCACCGCACGCTCATACGCTGCACCGCACGCTCATACGCTGCACCGCCCGCTCATATGCTGCACCGCCCGCTCATACGCTGCACCGCAACGCTGCACCGCCCGCTCATACGCTGCACCGCACGCTCATACGCTGCACCGCACGCTCATACGCTGCACCGCACGCTCATACGCTGCACCGCACGCTCATACGCTGCACCGCCCGCTCATACGCTGCACCGCCCGATCATACGCTGCACCGCACGCTCATCCGCTGCACCGCACGCTCATACGCTGCACCGCCCGCTCATACGCTGCACCGCACGCTCATACGCTGCACCGCCCGCTCATACGCTGCGCCGCCCGCTCATACGCTGCGCCGCCCGCTCATACGCTGCACCGCACGCTCATACGCTGCACCGCCCGCTCATACGCTGCACCGCCCGCTCATACGCTGCACCGCCCGCTCATGCGCTGCACCGCCCGCTCATGCGCTGCACCGCCCGCTCATGCGCTGCACCGCACGCTCATGCGCTGCACCGCACGCTCATACGCTGCACCGCACGCTCATACGCTGCACCGCCCGCTCATACGCTGCACCGCCCGCTCATACGCTGCACCGCACGCTCATACGCTGCACCGCACGCTCATACGCTGCACCGCACGCTCATACGCTGCACCGCCCGCTCATACGCTGCACCGCCCGCTCATACGCTGCACCGGAACGCTGCACCGCCCGCTCATACGCTGCACCGCACGCTCATACGCTGCACTGCACGCTCATACGCTGCACCGCACGCTCATACGCTGCACCGCACGCTCATACGCTGCACCGCCCGCTCATACGCTGCACCGCCCGATCATACGCTGCACCGCACGCTCATCCGCTGCACCGCACGCTCATACGCTGCACCGCCCGCTCATACGCTGCACCGCACGCTCATACGCTGCACCGCCCGCTCATACTCTGCGCCGCCCGCTCATACGCTGCGCCGCCCTCTCATACGCTGCACCGCCCGCTCATACGCTGCACCGCCCGCTCATACGCTGCACCGCACGCTCATACGCTGCACCGCCCGCTCATGCGCTGCACCGCCCGCTCATGCGCTGCACCGCACGCTCATACGCTGCACCGCACGCTCATACGCTGCACCGCCCGCTCATACGCTGCACCGCCCGATCATACGCTGCACCGCCCGCTCATGCGCTGCACCGCCCGCTCATGCGCTGCACCGCACACTCATGCGCTGCACCGCACGCGCATACGCTGCACCGCACGCTCATACGCTGCACCGCACGCTCATACGCTGCACCGCCCGCTCATACGCTGCACCGCACAGCTCATACGCTGCACCGCACGCTCATACGCTGCACCGCACGCTCATACGCTGCACCGCCCGCTCATACGCTGCACCGCACGCTCATACGCTGCACCGCACGCTCATACGCTGCACCGCACGCTCATACGCTGCACCGCACAGCTCATACGCTGCACCGCCCGCTCATACGCTGCACCGCACGCTCATACGCTGCACCGCACGCTCATACGCTGCACCGCACGCTCATACGCTGCACCGCACGCTCATACGCTGCACCGCACGCTCATACGCTGCAACGCACGCTCTTACGCTGCACCGCCCGATCATGCGCTGCACCGCACGCTCATCCGCTGCACCGCACGCTCATACGCTGCACCGCCCGCTCATACGCTGCACCGCACGCTCATACGCTGCACCGCACGCTCATACGCTGCACCGCACGCTCATACGCTGCACCGCCCGCTCATACGCGGCATCGCCCGCTCATACGCTGCACCGCACGCTCATACGCTGCACCGCACGCTCATACGCTGCACCGCACAGCTCATACGCTGCACCGCCCGCTCATACGCTGCACCGCACGCTCATACGCTGCACCGCCCGCTCATACGCTCCACCGCACGCTCATACGCTGCACCGCACGCTCATATGCTGCACCGCAACGTTGCACCGCCCGCTCATACGCTGCACCGCACGCTCATACGCTGCACCGCACGCTCATACGCTGCACCGCACGCTCATACGCTGCAACGCACGCTCTTACGCTGCACCGCCCGATCATACGCTGGACCGCACGCTCATCCGCTGCACCGCACGCTCATACGCTGCACCGCCCGCTCATACGCTGCACCGCAACGCTGCACCGCCCGCTCATACGCTGCACCGCACGCTCATACGCTGCACCGCCCGCTCATACGCTGCACCGCGCGCTCATACGCTGCACCGCGCGCTCATACGCTGCACCGCCCGCTCATCCGCTGCACCGCACGCTCATCCGCTGCACCGCCCGCTCATACGCTGCACCGCCCGCTCATACGCTGCACCGCCCGCTCATACGCTGCACCGCCCGCAAATACGCTGCAACGCCCGCTCATACGCTGCACCGCGCGCTCATACGCTGCACCTCCCGCAAATACGCTGCAACGCCCGCTCATACGCTGCACCGCACGCTCATACGCTGCACCGCACGCTCATACGCTGCACCGCCCGCTCATACGCTGCACCGCACGCTCATATGCTGCACCGCCCGCTCATACTCTGCGCCGCCCGCTCATACGCTGCGCCGCCCTCTCATACGCTGCACCACACGCTCATACGCTGCACCGCCCGCTCATACGCTGCACCGCCCGCTCATACGCTGCACCGCCCGCTCATACTCTTCACCGCCCGCTCATATGCTGCACCGCCCGCTCATACGCACGCACTTACACTGCACCGCACGCACATACACTGCACCGCCACTGCACAACCTACCGACTCAAAGTGTTACCTGCCACTCACTGTGCGACCTGGCCCAAGCGCCATCTGCCCCAGGTGCCACCTACCCCGGGTCGAAGGCTGCTTTAGCGAGGCCGGTGAGGAACTCTTTAAAGAGTCCGCCCTGGTCCATTCCTATCTCGATATCACATGCACCACCTGCTCTCCATACAACCTGCCCCACGTGCCACCTGCCCCAAACACAGCTTATCCAAACCAACGCCACCTTACCCTGGGTCGAAGGCCGCTTTAGCGAGGTCAGTGAGGAACTCTTTGAAGAGTCCGCCCTGGTCCATGCCTATCTCCTCCGCTCCAAACGCGTTCACAAATGACACGCGCACACGGCCCTGTGAGGTGGAGCAAAAAGGGGAGAGAGAGAGAGAGTGAGAGTGTGTGAGAAAGAGGAAGGAATGAGAGGGAGAGCCCGCCCTGGTCCATTCCTATCTCCTCCGCTCCAAACGCGTTCATGAATGACACGCGCACACGGCCCTGTAGGCAGCGGGAGAAGGAGAGAGGGAGAGTGAGAGAGCAGGAGAGCGAGTGAGGAACTCTTTAAAGAGTCCGCCCTGGTCCATGCCTATCTCCTCCGCATCAAACGCGTCAGCGAGTCACCCCTCTCTCAGGTGATACCTTAAGCAGGGAGCCGGGCCGAGTTGCCCCTCCGGGCCTCCCTCCCCACCACTTTGAGCATGGGGCTGAGCAGGTTGAGTTGAGCCTCACGAATGCAGTTGGTTGAGTCACACGAATGCATCCTCAACCAGCAGGTCGCGCCGAACGGACACGGCCACCACGGGCTGCACCGACACATTCACCACCGGTGGGTGTGTGGGTGGGTGGGTTTGGGCTGCATTGCCACCACAGCACCTTGAGCATGGGGCTGAGCAGGTAGAGTTGAGCCTCACGAATGCATCCTCAACTGGCAGGTCGCGCCTCGCCGAAACGTCACCATGGGTGGGTGGGTGGGTACCTCGGGCATGGCTGCATGCGTACCCCTCAGAATCAAGATTCATAATGGGAGTAGCAGCGAACTTGTGAGAAAACGCTTAGCAAAAGGATCACGACTTGTGATACTTGTTCCCCTCAAAGCTACCTTGAGCTGGGACCCAGTTGGTTGAGCCTCACGAATGCATCCTCGACGAGCAGGTCGCGCCTCGCAGAAACGTCCACCATAGGCCGCACCATGCCCATCCCGTGCTGCGCCCTGTCACTCTCAAAGCGCCTCTCAAAGCGCCTCTCAAAGCGCCTCTCAAAGCGTCTGTCAAAGCACCTTGCAAAGCACAAGCGGTACCTTGAGCATGGGTCCCAGCTGGTTTGACCGCACAAATGCATCTTCCACAAGCAGGTCGCGCCGCACCGTCACGCCCACCATGGGCCGCATCGACACATTCACCACGACCGGTGGGTGGGTGGGTGGGTTTGGGCTGCACTGCCACCACAGCACCTTGAGCATCAGTCCCAGCTGGTTGAGTCTCACGAAAGCATCTTCCACAAGCAGGTCGCGCCGCACCGACACGTCCACCACCAGGTGGGTCGGTGGCACTGCACTGCTATACGGTTGGAATCAAGAGAAGCGCCTCCCACAAGTGGTACCTTGAGCATGGGCCCCAGCTGGTCCAATCGCACGAATGCATCCTCCACAAGCAAATCCCGCCGCACCGACACGTCCACCATGGGCCGCACCATGCCCATCCCGGGGGTCACTCTCAAAGTACCTTTCAGCAAATCTTCTCAAAATACCTTTCAGCAAATCTTCCCAAAGCACCTTTCAGCAAATCTTCCCAAAGTACCTTTCAGCAAATCTTCCCAAAGCACCTTTCAGCAAATCTTCTCAAAGTACCTTTCAGCAAATCTTCCCAAAGCACCTTTCAGCAAATCTTCTCAAAGCACCTTTCCTTTTGAAGAAGCTTTCAATACCTTGAGGCTTGAGCATGGGACCAAGTTGGTTCAATCGCACAAACGCATCTCCCACGAGTGGATCCCGCCGCACGGGCACGTCGCCACCATTGAGAGTCAAGTCCACCCCGTGCCACACCTTGTCACTCCCACAGCACCATATAATTCACAAGTGTCAAGTGGTACCTTGAGCATGGTTCCGAGTTGGTTGAGGCGCACGAACGCATCTTCCACGAGCAGATCCCGCCGCACCGACACGTCCACAACGGGCCGCACCGTGATGCGCCCTGGCACTCTCAAAGCACCTTCCAAAGCACAAGTGGTACATTGAGCATGGGACCGAGTTGGTTCAATCGCACGAAGGCATCTTCGACGAGCAAATCGCGCCGCACGGACACGTCCACCACAGGCCGCACCATGCCCATGCCGGGGGTAGCCCCTAATCCGTGCCGCGCCTTGTCCGCCTGAATCAGCTCCCTGAATATGTGCACTCTGAGAAGAGAGAAGTGGGGCATGGGGGCCACAAGAAACAGCCGAGTGGGGAGTGGAAAGAGGGGCAGCCGCACGGACACGTCCACCACGGGCCGCACCATGCCCATGCCGGGGGTAGCCCCTAATCCATGCCTCGCCTTGTCCGCTTGGATGAGCTCCCTGAATATGTGCACCCTGAGGAGAGAGACAGGGAGAGCAGAAGGAAAAGCCAAAGAAGGAGTGGGGAAGAGGGGCAGGTGAGGGGTTTGAGCCTGTCACACCAACTGCGCGCCTTCCTTGCCACGAGCAGAGCAAGTCCCGCCGCACGGACACGTCCACCACGGGCCGCACCATGCCCATGCCGGGCGTCGCTCCCAGCCCGTGCCGCGCCTTGTCCGCTTGAATGAGCTCGCGGAATATGTGCACCCTGAGAGGACACACGAGAGAGGCGAGCGAGAGCGAGGTGGGGAGGTGAAGGGTGGAGGGTATGAGAGTCACCCCCAGCCCGTGCCGCGCCTTGGCCGCTTGAATGAGCTCGCGGAATATGTGCACCCTGACATGGGATGAGGGACATGGGGCATGGGGCATGGGGCATGGGGCATGGGGCATGGGGCATGGGGCATGGGGCATGGGGCATGGGGCATGGGGCATGGGGCATGGGGCATGGGGCATGGGGCATGGGGCATGGGGCATGGGGCATGGGGCATGGGGCATGGGGCATGGGGCATGGGGCATGGGGCATGGAGGAAAAAGGGGAAGGTGAAGGAGCAGTGAGTTTGAGCCACGGCCAGGGGTGAGTGCTGCCGGGGGTGAGTGCTGCCGGGGGTGAGTGCTGCCGGGGGTGAGTGCTGCCGGGGGTGAGTGCTGCCAGCAGTATGCTACAGTTCGTCTCACCTTCCCCCTACCATCCGGCCAGCGCTCTCTCAGAACAGCAGCCATGGCGCACCCACTCAGCTGCTCCTCAAAAGCCAAAAGACGACTTTTGAGGCACCTCAAAAGCCCACTCTGCTGCTCCTTGCCCTTCTCCCCTTCCCCCCTGCCATCCCTACAGGTTACAGCTCATCGCACCCTCCCCGTTGATTTCCAAATCTCATCTCACCTCTGTTCAAACGGCAGCACGTGGGGCAGCGTGCGCAGCACAGCAGCCATCGCAGACCCGCTCTGCTGCTCCCTGCCCTTCTCCCCTTCCCCTCTGCTCCCTTCTTCTCTGCCTGCAAACAGGCTCCAATTAAACCAGGCACCCTCCCCTTCCTTCCCTACACCTCATCGTACCTCTTCTCAAACGGAAAAACGTGGGGCAGCGTGCGCAGCACAGCAGCCATGGCAGACCCGCTCTGCTGTTCCTTCCTCCCCCTCTCTCCCCTGACATATGCCATAGAATTCTAACAATATACATCTCTCACCTCTTCTCAAACGGCAAAACGTGGGGCAGCGTGCGCAGAACAGCAGCCATCGCAGACCCACTCTGCTGCTCCTTGCCCTTCTCCACTCCTCCTCTCCCTCTCCCTCCTCCTGCCATCATCACTCCTCCCTCCCCTCCCAGTTCCCCTCCGCCGCCTCCTGCCCCACCGCCCATGCCTAGTTCCCCCATCCACTCCCCCATCTCCCAATCCTCCTCCCCTCCCCCCATCATTGCGCCCATCCCCCCTCCTCCCCCTTCGCCCCCCACCCCATGATGTCTGGCTGCGCCTGAAGCGGTGGGAGCAGCAGGGGGCGGAAGGGAATCGGAACGGAGGAAAAAACGGGAAGCAAATGAGCTCACAGAAAATGGGAGGTGACTTTTGAGTCGACTCAAAAGTCAAGCGGTGGGAGCAGCAGGGGCGGAAGGGAATCAGAACGGGAGAGAAAACGGGAAGCAAATGAGCTCACAGAAAATGGGAGGTGACTTTTGAGTCGACTCCGAAGTCAAGCGGTGGGAGCAGCAGGGGCGGAAGGGAATCAGAGCGGAAGAGAAAACGGGAAGCAAATGAGCTCACAGAAAACGGGAGCCAGAGAGAGAAGGCTTGCAGAAAGCTCGGCTGCAGTCGAGTTTTGAGGCGCCTCAAAACGCCAGCGAGAGCAGGCTTGCAGAAAGCTCGGCTGCAGTCGAGTTTTGAGGCGCCTCAAAACTTGAAAACGGGAAGCAATGAGCTCACAGAAAATGGGAGCCAGAGAGAGCAGGCTTGCAGAAAGCTCGGCTGCAGTCGAGTTTTGAGGCGCCTCAAAACTTGAAAACGGGAAGCAATGAGCTCACAGAAAATGGGAGCCAGAGAGAGCAAGCTGTTTTTTTAGAATTCTCAAGCGAGTGTTTTTTGAGAATTCTCAAAAAACGGGAAGCAATGAGCTCACAGAAAATGGGAGCCAGAGAGAGCAGGCTTGCAGAAAGCTCGGCTGCAGTCGAGTTTTGAGGCGCCTCAAAACTTGAAAACGGGAAGCAATGAGCTCACAGACAATGGGAGGTGACTTTTGAGTCAAGCGGTGGGAGCAGCATGGGGCGGAAGGGAATCAGAGCGGAAGAGAAAACGGGAAGCAAATGAGCTCACAGAAAACGGGAGCCAGAGAGAGAAGGCTCGTCAAGGACATGAAATGACGGCGTTTACCTGCTGCTGAGATGACAGGTGGTGGGCGGCAATCAGCCGGGGCAAGCCAGAGAGAAGGCTCGCAGAAGGCTCTTCTGCAGTCGCGGTCGTGCAGAGTAGAGGGAGGAGGCAGCGAGTGGCTGCTTCTAGTAGCGCAACACATACCCATCCTTTTCTTTTGGCACCAGTCGCGGTCGTGGAGAGTAGAGGGAGGAGGCAGCGAGTGCCTCCTTTTCTTTCTTTTTGAACACAAGGGGGAGATGAATGAGGGCGTTTACCTGCTGCAGAGATCACAGGTGGTGGGCGGCGATCGGCAGGGGCTCGTCTGCAGTCGCGGTCGTGCAGAGTAGAGGGAGGAGGCAGCGAGTGGCTGCTTCTAGGAGAGCGTTGTACAATTGGCACACGAGACATAAATGGGCTCAGATGTACATACCTGCTGCCGAGATGACAGGTGGGGGGCGGCGATCGGCGGGGGCCAGCCAGAGGGAGGGTTCGCAGAAGGCTCTTCTACAGTCGCGGTCGTGCAGAGGGAGGAGGCAGCGAGTGGCTGCTTCTAGTAGCGCGGATTGCGAAGGGGTGAGCGGGGAAGCGGCGGAGGCGGATGAGGAAGAGGAGGGGGACGGGGAGGAGGAGGAGGGGGAGGAGATGAGTGTGTTGTAAACGAGGGTGTTGAGGGTGGCTGCGATGACCCTTTGTTCGGAAAGAGAGAAAGGGATCTGAGTGAAAAGGCGAACACGGGGCAAGGAAGAGAAGCGGGGCAGTGAGGGAAGAGGGACAGGTGCAGGCAGACAAGAGGGAGGAGATGAGGGTGTTGAGTGTTGCTGCAATGACTCTTTGCTCGGAAAGAGAGAAAGGGATCTGAGGGACAAGGGAAACGAGGGAATAGGTATACAGGAGATGATGATGAGTGTGTGTTGTAGAGTCTAGACGAGGGTGTTGAGTGTGACTGGCTGAAATGACCCGCTGCTTGGAAAGAGAGAAAGGGATCTGATCTGAGAGGCGAGGGAAACGAGGGAGTGGGTATACAGAAGGGAGGAGAGGAGATGATGAGGAGAGTGTGTTGTAAACGAGGGAGTTGAGTGTGGCTGGCTGAAATGACCAGCAGCTTGGAAAGAGGGAAAGGGATCTGATCTGAGGGACAAGGGAAGCCAAACCACCCCACCGCGCAGCACCGCACAGAACCCACCTGTCTCTGGTAGAACTCCTCATCATCCAGAACGAGCAGCAGGTGGGCATACGCCCTGCAGAACACAGTCATCACCACTGCCACGTCAGCAGCCACCCCTGCCACCCCCTTCCTCATACTCTCCACATCCCACCGCTCCCCTCCTCCCTCTCCCCCCCCTCCTCCTTCTCTTCCCTCTCTTCCCTCAAATCCTCCGCTTCCTGCTCCCTCCCCCTCCTCCTCCTCCTCTCCCCCCTCGTTAATATCCTCTTCCATATAGTCACCTGACTGGGTCTCCCAAAACGTCCTCCCCCCTCCACCTCCTCCCTCTCCCCCTCCTCCTCCTCCTCTGCCTCTGCGCCCTCTCTGTGCCTCTGCTGCGCGTCTCTGGAAGGTGGAGGAGAGAAAGGTGGACCACCGCTGTGCTGCCGTTGACCCTGTTTGACCAGGTTGACCCGGTTGACCCGGTTGACCCGGTTGACCCAGTTGACCAGTCTGTCGCCCGCCCAAGAACGCAGCCAGTGCAGCGTCATCATCACCCGCACTCCCGGGCGGCCCTCCTTGGCCGGCAGAATCTGTCTGCATGCGGTCAACACGGTCAACGCCCCTACTCTCTCCCCCTCCCCTTCCTCTGCCTGCTAACCCTCCTCCCTGAGAACCCCACTCATCCTCCTCTGCCCTTCCCTCCCCCCCTTCTCCACCTCCCCCATACCCTTCCAGAAACGACCTTGGGAACCAGCTGCCCGAAAACTGGGGCAGCTGAAACGAACCAGCCACTCCCCCGTGCCTGCTCCCTTCTCTCCCCCCTCTGTTTCTCCTCCTGCTAGACCCCTCTCTTGTCCTCCCGCCACCAGCAGAACCAGAACCACCAGCACCAGCAGCAGCAGCACCACCACCACCACCACCACCACTCTGCACTCCCTGTGCACCACTCTGCACCCCCTGCAAACCACCCTGTATCCCCTCACTCTCAGCATAGGCCTGGGAGATGGAGATACGGCAGTGCGCCACCAGCCAGTGCCACAGCCCTGTGAGAACCTCACGAGTGAATGCCAGAACGTTCAGGAGAGGGAGGACTCGCCCTGAGGACGCGTGTACGGAAGAGAAGAGGGTCAGCAGGAGAGAGTAGAGCCTCCCGAAATCGCCCATGTCTAGCTGCTGCCGCCCGCATGCTGCTCCAGCTGCTGCTCCAGCTGCTGTTGCTGATCCTGCTGCTCCTCCTGATGCTGCTACTGCAGCAGGTTTTCCTCCCGAATCTGCTGCTTTTCCCGTATTTTTTTCGGCTTTAAGGGCCTCTTCTAGGACTCGCAGCACGTGCCACCGCTGGCACAGCGGGGAAATATCCTCGTAAAAACACGGGTGCACCTGCCTACGCCCGCCTCTTCTCCCCCTCCCTTCCTCTTCCTCATCCTCCTCTTCCTCGTCCTCCTCTTCCTCCTGCTGCTTCCTTCCCTTGATCCCTTTCCCTCCTCTCTCCTCTCTCACCTCTTTCTCCTCATGATCTATTACAGCAGCGGCTAAGGAGCAGAGGGCATGCACATAGAGTGGCAAGTCAAGACCCGGAAGGAACAGCTCAGAGGACAACGAGGGAGAGGGAGGAGGAGGAGGAGAGTGTGGAGAGGGGGAGGGGGGGGAGGAGAGGGAGGGTGGGCTGGTTGCGAGGGCAGAGATGTTGGCCAAGGCCCAGGCGGGAGGGGGGAGATGCGAGGTGAGTCTGTGGTACGGGTCGGGTGGCGACGGGTGGGGTGAAGGGGCTTTGCGCAAAGGAGGGGAGAGAGATGCAGGTACACAGGAGGGAAGAAGAAGGGGACGAGGAAGGGAGAGGACTTTTGAGTCGACTCAGAAGTCACTTTGAAGGGGCTTTGCGCTGCACGGCGGGGAGAAAGAGGCAGGCACACAGCAGGGAAGAAGGGGACGGGGTGGATCGGGTGGCAAAGGGGTGGGGCACAGGGGCAAGGAGGGGAGAGAGAGGCAGGTACACAGGAGGGAAGCAGGGGACGAGAGAGGCAGGTACACAGGAGGGAAGCAGGGGACGAGAGAGGCAGGTACACAGGAGGGAAGCAGGGGACGAGGAAGGGAGAGGACTTTTGAGTCGACTCAAAAGTCACTTTGAAGGAGCTTTGCGCTGCAAGAGCGGAGAGAGATGCAGGTACACAGGAGGGAAGAAAGGGACGAGGAAGGGAGGGGCACAGAGCAGAGAAAAAGGGTCGGGACTGGAGCAGAAATAAGAGGGCAGAGAGGGTAAGCGAAACCAAATCAGAATGCGAGGCAAAAAAAAAGGGGGGTTTATTAGGAAAGGTCCAAGGTTCAGACACGAATCTGACCGAACCAGCCCAGGCAGGAGAGGAGGCAGGGCTGAAGGGATGACAGGTGGTGTAAGGCAGGGAGGAGGGGAGACGGTTGCTGGGTGGAAAAGGTAAAAGATTCTGGTAGAAGGTAAAAGAGTGAATGAACGTAGAAGGTAAGAGGAAATAATCATACCATGCATAAAAGGAGGCACGGTTGGAGGGCTGACAGGTGACGCAAGGCAGGGGGGAGGGGAGTAAGAGGTTTAATGGGCAAAGCCAAAGGTTCATGTAAAAGGGTAAGAGAAGAGAGCATGGTCCTACCAGACAGGAGAGGAGGCACGGTTGGACGGCTGACAAATGGTGCAAGGCAGGGAGGAGGGGAGACAGAAGCTTAACGGGGAAAGCCAAAGGCTGAGGTACACAGTAAGAGACGAGAGGATGATCGTACCAGGCATGAGAGGAGGCAGGGCTGAAGGGCTGACAGGTGGCGCAAGGCAGGGAGGAGGGGAGACGGCCGGCGCCACGTCAGCAGTGGGATGGTGAGAATGTGGGCGGCAAACTGATCAGCTGCCAGAGATGCCCACGCTGCATTGAAAGGACAGAGATAAGAGAGTGGAACTTTGAGGCGCGCTAAAACTTGAATGCGGGCAGCAAACTGATCAGCTGCCAGAGATGCCCACGCTGCATTGAAAGGAATGGAAGGGAGGGACGGCAGGGATGGGCAGGTAGACTTTTGAGACGTCTCAAAAGCAAACTGATCTGCTGCCAATGATGCCCACGCTGCAATCAAAGGACAGAGATAAGAGAGTGGAATTTTGAGACGCGCTAAAACTCGAATGCGGGCAGCAAACTGATCCGCTGCCAGAGATGCCTATGCTGCATTGAAAGGAATGGAAGGGAGGGACAGTAGAGAAGGGCAAGTAGACCAAGGAGAAGAGGAGGACATGAATCCATACGCACAACAGCAACGACGCGTAGAAACGACAGGCTCAGTGAACGTGGCGCACAATAGCACGAGAAAAGTATTATCCATATGGTGCGCCACATTCAATTGTGAGTCCATATGGCGAATGTGGCGCACAACAGGAGAAAGTAGAGACGGGCATGTAAGCCAGCCACGGCAGAAGGGGAAGATAAAGTCATTGTAAAACTCACCCGCTGGCAGCTTCCCAGCAACTGTTTGCCCGTCATTCCTGCCCGAGAAAACAATGATAGGTCTGAGAGCCACGGTCATTGCTGCAGCGGTCAGCAGAAACATTTGCTGGGCAGCCTGAGCTCCCGCCCCTCCTCCCGCCCCCCCTCCCATCCCTCCTCCTTTCCCCTTCATTTCCCTCCACCCGTCCACAGGAGGGGCGGCGGAGTTTGTCAGTATGTGCATGCGCAGAGCAGGGTAGATTCCCGTGGCACCTGATGCTGTACCTGCCAACAGAGAAAGCACCTGAGCCTCTGCTGCTGCCAGGGTGCTATCAGGGGAGGAGGAGGCGGTGACAGCTGGCGAGTTGAGGAAGCGCCACGTGGCAGTGTCACAGAGTGACACGTGGACACGCATGGCGAGGACAGTGAGTAGGAGAGAGGGCGCTGATGGGGTGGTGGCAGTGGTAGTGGTGGAGTGAGAAGAGGGAGAGGGAGAGGAGGAAGTGGAGGAGGAGGAAGAGGAGGAGGAAGAGGAGGAGAAAAGGCTGAGAAGAGCACTGCAGAGGGAAACCATTCGATGTGCTTGATGCTGCCACGTGGCGCGCTGTGATTGGGTGCCAACGGCCAAGGAGCAGAAGTTGGTAGCAGGATCTGCGTTGGGATAAAAGAGGGAGGGCGGAACACAATTGTGAGAGGAGGCGGGAAGCGGAAGAAGAGGCGCGTGTGAGAGGCCTAGGGGATTGAATAGGAATGCAAATTGGGGATTGAATGGGAATGCAAATTGGGGATAGAATAGGAATGCAAATTGGGGATTGAATGGGAATGCAAATTGGGGATTGAATAGGAATGCAAATTGGGGATTGAATGGGAATGCAAATTGGGGATTGAATAGGAATGCAAATTGGGGATTGAATGGGAATGCAAATTGGGGACTGAAGATGAATGCAAATTGGGGACTGAAGATGAATGCAAATTGGGGATTGAAGATGAATGCAAATTGAATTAACTGGACTGCGACTGTTGAACTGACTGCTTTGAAAACCCCACTTACCTGGGAAATCCGGACTCTTTAAGAGCCACACCTGCACTGACTGTAACCGTTCCACTTCCCTTCCTTCTCACCCTTCTTTTAATAGGCCTAAGAAAGAGACGAAATATTAAACTCAAGCTCTCGCTTACCTGGAGAGTCCAGACTTTTCAACAGCCACACTAGCACCGACTGCAACCGCTGCATTTCCTTTCCTGCTCCTCCACCCCCCGCCCCTGCTCCAGTCGCTCCCCCTTTCCCCCTGTGCTCCCCTTTCTCCCCCTCCCCCCTCCCTCCAATTCTCCACTCCCTTTTCCGTGCATCCCACAGCAAGAACAGCACCGGCGCCAGAAGCTTCTGAGAAACTTCATCTGCTGTGAGGGGCGCTGGGGGCTGCCCCCCTGCCGCTGCCATGCGGGAAGCATGCCACGTGTCCCACTCCGATTGGACGAGCTGGCGAGCGACGCAAGCTGCTTTCCTACCGCGCCACACACGCTGACGCGGGGAAGAGGAGTTACAGGGTGGGTGGGTGAGTGGGTGGGTGAGTGAGTGGCTGGGTGGGTGGGTGGGAGGGTGGGTGGTCGGAAACCATTGATAGGAGACTTAACGGCACGTCTACATAACGATTTTTGTCAGCCGGCGCACCTGGATGAGCGGAACGAGAATTTCTTAGTGACATGACTCTTAACATCACTTACTGACAAAAATGTTAACTGGCGCACCTGAAGCGCCGACTGGCGCACCTGAAGCGCCAATCTGGCGATTGGCGCACCTGAATGAGCGCGGCAGAAGCGGCGGACTTGCGGGCCTTGCTGCGCGCCGCACGCTCTTCCGCGACCTTGTTCAGCAGCGCGTTCCGCGACACCTCGCGCGCGCTTGCCCCGCGCAGCGACACCTGCGGAGGCGGACGTGGGGGGAGGGGAATTTGGGGGCAGGAGGGATACGAAACGTCGCAGGAAAGGCAACGGTCAGTTCCGCGACACCTCGCGCGCGCCCGCTCCGCGCAACGACACCTGGGGAGTTTGACGCACGGAATGTTGCGACAGAATGGGAATCGAGACAGGAAAAAAACTGAAGTGGGGAGATCTAAGACGGAAGATATTCGAAACGTCTTAGCACAGTGCGGCAGGGCGTTCGAAAGACGTCAGTGACGCGCACTCCGCGCGACGACACCGAAAAAAGTGTTGTTGAATCTGTTAACGAAACGTGTCACGTCCCTATTGGCTCGATCTAGTACACGGAGTGACAGACATGGCAACGAACACTTCACGGAATGGAAGAAATGAAACAGCGGGATCTCCAGATGTGATTAGCTCCTTATTTATGCAACTGAGCAGCTCAACGCTCACCTCGCGTCGCCCACCGAATTGCATCCTGACCGTTGGAGGCGGTCGACAAATAACGACGAATGAAAGGCAGATTGAGAAGGCAAATTCCCGCTTGCGTTGAGACTAAGCTAAGACAAGTTCCAGGACACAGTGAAACAAAGTGTGTAAGCAAGAATCCGCGAATTCTAAGGAATACGCAAGGTGCACACAAGAATAGTCTCAAGGTATTCCCTGAGTTCGGAATTCACAAGTACGAATTTCGTGGCAAGCTGATTTGTCAGACTTCATTGGAAGGATGTATTCTATTGAAACTGCTCCGATATCTGTCAATGATGGAGATTCATATATGTAGCTATTACTATTTGAATTACACGAAATTGAACGTACAGAATCAAGAGGGTGTGGCTGAGCTGAGCCCAGCATTCTGGGGGGGTGAGTGACGGCAGCCTTTCGGGCAAGGGGAAGCTGCTATTTGCCAATCGGAAGCTTCTTTTTTGGTGCACACCCTGACGTCAGACCGTAAACCCTCTTGTTTGCCTATGTGTCACTCGCATCAAGCTGACATGGCTTTATTCGATTCGAGAAATGAATTCGCCGATTGGCCCTTCGGTTTCGGCAACCCGTAATATTTTTCCAGGGCTGCCCTGTCCACAAGCTCCCCCAACCCCCATACTCGAACCCCCCCCGCTTATATTTTCCGCATTCTCCGCCACTTTCCCCCCAACTTTCTCCCCCGCTCCCCCACCCATGCTCTATATTTTCTGCCAGTCAAGCTCCTGACACCTCTCATATTCGCTCTGCGCATTAGTCAGAGCTCTTTCCCTCTCTTCTAAAGACCTGGTTTTCCCAGGCACTCAGCCGTCCCCGAGCTAAGCTTCGAGCCTCTCCGCATTCCACGGTTAGCGCGTAAGAGAATCACTAAGCCGTCGTCCTTTCACACGATTTCTCTTTCTTTCAGCCTAATCTAAGACCATCATGGCACTTTCCTGCGGAAGCTGCACGCTCGGCAAGACCGCTGTGTCCGGTCTCTCTCTCAAAAATGACGCGACCCTCGCGTCCGCCAAGAGCGCCGTCGTCATGTCGCCCATGCCACGTGTCGAGAAGCTGAGCGCCGCGGGCAAGAAGGCCGCGGCTGTCGCGGTCAGCGTCCGGTCGCAAGCCGTCGCCACCGCGACCACGAAGCGCGGTGCGGAGGTGCAGTTCGACAGCAAGGTGTTCACCAAGGAGAAGATCAACCTCGCCGGCCGTGAGGAGGTACACTTTATTTTTTCTCACTTTTCGTTTTGTTCACCGATATTGAGACGTCTGTTATCGCGGAGGAAGGCGTTCACTAAGGAAAATATTAATCTTGCCGGCCGTGAGGAGGTAAATCTGTTCATTTTCACACCTTCTAATATTCGATTCTGGGACGTTGAAACGCGAAATTGGTGTTTGAAAGCATTGTATTTTTACGAAGAAAACAAACCTAGGATGTTTTTTCCATCCCGTCATTGCCGTCGCATTTGGGTTCCCCCCGATGATATAGCTGGCTCGAGAAATATTCACATCGGTTTTCGAACCGATGGCCTTATGCCGATTCCCGCGTGCGCATCCTTGGTTGGTGCGAGTATTGTCGGTTAAGAGCAGCGGATTCATCCACTGAGATGTCTTAGCGGATTCCTCGATTTCCGAGTTATCGGGCCACTCCATATTCACTGATCGCCGATCGTTGATCCCAGATCTCTCAAGCACCACATTCGCTTCATATTGCCATTCTCCGCCACGTCCTTCCCCCTTCAGTACATCGTGCGCGGTGGGCGCAACCTCTACCCGCTTCTCGCGGAGGCCTTCAAGGGCATCAAGAAGATCGGCGTCATCGGCTGGGGCTCCCAGGCAAGTACAGGGTCGTCTTATTTTGTTTCCCATTGTTTTCTTTGTCTAAAACGACGAGCAGCTTAAACCCTGTTTCTTAGTCCTGCAAACTTTTTTTAGTCGACTTAAGAATTGTCCTGCAAGTCTTGGCAATGCAGTCAAATCTCTGCAATACAATGTCCTTGGCATAAAGAACCCTCTTTTATCGCGTATGTCACTGCGAGCTCCGTCCAGCCGCATATCATCCCCTTGTTTCGTCATATCGCGGAACATGACTTTCTCGCTTTTCCCATGTTGGTTTCTCATTAATATGAAGTTTATCTGTATCACGTATTTTTCCACACCGCAGGGGCCGGCTCAGGCGCAGAACATCCGCGACTCGCTCGCTGAGATCAACTCCGATATCACCGTCTCCGTAAGTCGCATTAGTCCCGGTTTTTTTCGAACGAAAATTCGCGACTCGCTCTGTGACGGAAATTTACTCGGGAGTGTTTCCTACATTGCAATGCCGTTGCATCACGGCATAAAATCGATTGTAGATGCATCGAAACCAGTTTCCTGACTTCAACCACAATTTGTTGTTGAACGAAGTCGACATGTCCGTGTTCGAGCTTTGGAAACCGCTGCAGCATTTTTTTTTTTTTCTGGAGCCGTTTTTTTTTGTGTGTGTGTGTGTGTGTTTTTTTTTTTTTTTTTTTTTTGTCATGCGAATTTAAACATTTTTCCGCTTCCGACTCCTTCCCGTCGGCCCTTGTCCACTTGTCACTTCCAGATTGGTCTGCGCCCCAGCTCGTCCTCCGCGAAGGATGCGCGCCGATGCGGATTCACGGAGGAGGCGGGCACCCTGGGTGACGTCACCAAGGTCATCTCCGAGAGCGACCTGGTCATTCTCCTCATCTCCGACGCTGCTCAGGTGAAAATGACTCGCTATAGTGCATACTCTATATAAGGTTACGAGGAGTTAGGGACGTCACCAAGGTCATCTCCGAGAGCGACCTGGTCATTCTCCTCATCTCCGACGCTGCTCAGGTGAAAATGACTCGCTATAGTGTACACTCTATATAAGGTTAGGAGGAGTTTGGGACGTCACCAAGGTCATCTCCGAGAGCGACCTGGTCATTCTCCTGATCTCCGACGCTGCTCAGGTGAGCATGACTAGCTATAAAAGTGTACTCGATATAAGGTTATGAGGAGTTGGGGACGTCACCAAGGTCATTTCCGAGAGCGACCTGGTCATTCTCCTGATCTCCGACGCTGCTCAGGTGAGGATGACTCGCTATAGTGTGTACTCGATAGAAGGTTAAGAGGAGTTAGGGACGTCACCAAGGTCATCTCCGAGAGCGACCTGGTCATTCTCCTCATCTCCGACGCTGCTCAGGTGAGAATGACTCGTTACTGTGCGAACTCGATATAGGGTGAGGGCTGAGGGCGGGCACGTTTGGTGGCATCACCAAGGTCACCTCGGGAACGACCTGGTCATTTCTCATCCCCGTCTCCTCTTCCCGTCTCCCCCCGTCTCCCCCCACCCCATACGCCCAACCCCACTTTTCCCCAGGCGGACAACCACGAAGCGATCCTGAATGCCATGAAGCCCGGGGCCATCTTGGGTCTCTCCCACGGGTTCCTGCTGGGCCACCTGCAGTCGCTCGGAAAGACCTTCCGCGCCTCACCCCTCTCCTCGCCCCTCCTTACCGTTTTTCACCCCTCCGTTTCCCCTCCCACAGGCGGACAACCACGAGGCGATCCTGAATGCCATGAAGCCCGGCGCCGTGCTGGGTCTCTCTCACGGGTTCCTGCTGGGCCACCTGCAGTCGCTCGGAAAGGGCTTCCGCGACGATATTAGCGTGGTCGCCGTGTGCCCCAAGGGCATGGGGCCGTCCGTGCGCCCTTCGCCCCTCTCTTCTCCCCTCCTCACGCCTTTTAACCCCTCCGTTTTCCCCCGTTTTTTCCCTGTCTCTTCCCCGGTTTCCCCTCACCAGGCGGACAACCACGAGGCGATCCTGAATGCCATGAAGCCCGGCGCCGTGCTGGGTCTCTCTCACGGGTTCCTGCTGGGCCACCTGCAGTCGCTCGGAAAGGGCTTCCGCGACGATATTAGCGTGGTCGCCGTGTGCCCCAAGGGCATGGGACCGTCCGTGCGGCGGCTGTACGTGCAGGGCAAGGAGGTCAACGGGTCGGGCATCAACGCGTCCTTCGCCGTGCACCAGGTAAGGGGTTAAAGGAAGCACCAGGTTCTGAGAGGCATGGAGGGTGCTGTGGGGTGCTGTGGGGTGCTGTAGGGGGCAGGGAGTGGCCGTGTGTCCCAAGGGCATGGGGCCGTCCGTGCGGCGGCTGTACGTGCAGGGCATGGAGGTGAACGGCTCGGGCATCAACGCGTCCTTCGCTGTCCACCAGGTGAGGCGAGGGAGGGGCTTAAGGGGGTGAGGTGGTGGGCGGGTTGGGGGCACGAGGCGGCTGTACGTGCAGGGCAAGGAGGTGAACGGCTCGGGCATCAACGCGTCTTTTGCCGTCCACCAGGTGAGGGGTTGGTTGAAGGAAGCACCAGGTTCTGAGAGGCATGTGGGGTGCTGTGGGATGCTGTGGGGTGCTGCCGTGTGTCCCAAGGGCATGGGGCCCTCCGTGCGGCGGCTGTACGTGCAGGGCAAGGAGGTCAACGGCTCGGGCATCAACGCCTCGTTCGCCGTGCACCAGGTGAGAAGACAAGGCAGGGAAAGGAGGGGGAGACTCTTGGTTGGGAAAGGGCCTGGGGAAAGCACTTCACTGAAAAGCTTCAGCTGGCTTGAGCTGGCTTAAAAATAGTGCAAGGAAATGGAAGATGGAGTGGGGAGAGAGAAGGCCTTGGGGTGGCATGGCATGGCGCAATGCAAGGAAATGGAAAAGAACTGCACTGGTGTCAACACGTCAACACAGTTTGGTGTGTGTGCACTTTCTTATGCTTTCTCCTGTGTGTGTGTGCTCCTCCCTGTGCCACGTGGCAGGACGTGGACGGCCGCGCCACTGAAGTGGCTCTGGGCTGGTCCGTGGCCCTGGGCTCGCCCTTTACCTTTGCTACCACCCTTGAGGACGAATACAAGAGCGATATCTTCGGGGAGCGAGGTGAGAACGGGTTTGTGAGGAGTAGGAGCTCTGTTAGTGTGCGTGCGTGTATGTGGTGTGTGGTCCTGGGGTCGCCCTTCACCTTCGCCACCACGCTT